TAATGACTGAATAGCTGGTTTCCCATCAGTGATATAAAAATGATGTGATTAAAAATGAAATGTTTAGGTGAATTTAGATATGTTTACCAGAGAGAAATGAGGAATGCCTGTCTTGGGCATTTTTCTATTTTAAACCAATAAGTCAAAACTGTCTTCATATCTACGCCCTACGAGAAACGTAGTGGCCCAAGTTGGTGGCATCTGCCAACAGTAAATACCCACTAGCAGGATAGTTGATGGCTTTCTCAAATTCCACGGTTGGTTGCAGGTTTAAGACAAAATTCAATATTCTGATAAGCTGCCGGCACCAATTCATTTTCGAAGCGAATAAAGAATCGTACAGGGACGATTTTTCCACTGGTAAAATCGATCTGCCGTATAAAACAGCTTAATGGTAGCACATTTTGCCACTACTGATTTTCAACAAAAATATGCTACGTTGTTCTATCATTAAATACACGTGATTTCAACAAAAAGACCCAAAAAAATGTTCAACGAAAAGTACCAGAAGAATTCGTTGTTCAATGTGACGATTGACAGTGTTCAGCGTACCAACAACAATCTTCGTTGCTTTCGGGCTAACGAAGTCTTTCTTTAGCGTTTCCAAATCTGCAGAATCTGTTGCACTGAATAATAATTTCTGAAGTCCAACTATCTGCAAAACAATAGCATTCAGTTCGATTGATAAAAAGCAATGCCTAGAAGCGATTGTTGTTTGGAGTTTCTTTATCAGCATGCGGACAGAAGCTCTGTCTGTTGTGAACGACGTTCTTTTCTTCGAAAATTTTTCTGGGCCAGGAGGGAATCGAACCACTTCTCTTTAAGTCGGGACGCAATGTGTTGCCACTACACCACTGGGCCCTTATGCTCTAGATTCAGCCTGGCAGCACATCACTGTGTGTCTGCCGTTTAACGCAAGACACACCTTTCTTTTCTTCTCCTTTTTCTTTGTGACGGCTTCTTGGCCGGCTTTTCCCGGGTTCTCCGCAACACTATCAGAAGAATGCTGAGACGGTAATGCCTTGACAATGAGGGGATATAAAAGTGTCTAAAGAAATGACCACTCAAACAGCACCCTTTAAACTGGCAGAGATTTCAAATACTTGAAGTTTAGGCAAAAAAAACTTGACATTGCCAACAGCAGGGGCGAAGTTTTTTAAACGACAGCCCGCGCAATCTGAAAAACCAATCAAGCAATTTGCTTCTCAGACAGAAAACTGCAACATACCACTGCGTGAACGAATGCGATATTGAATCATAAGAGCTACGAAGAGTTCTTCAATTCTAATATTTTGGCTTCACCTCTTCTGCGTCTGTTTTCGAAAAATGTAAAAAATCTTTTTTATATTCATACCGCTTTTTTATATTCATACCAGGTCATTCAAACGTACCGCTTTACATCGTGGTAGAAGATTTTCCACCAAATCATCATAGAATCCACAAAACTGAAGCAATTTGTCGGCTTCATCGAAAACCAGAAAACGTAACAAATCCAGTTTCAGCTGCAATTAAACGAGCATCTGGATTAAACATATGATTCTGGTTCTGCTGCTGTTGCTACGCAACTTGGAACTAATCCAGCTACTTTCATCACTGCTGCATCACCTGGTGGTCAGCCCGCTGGCTATCGTGACGTTTGTTTTGTTTCCTGAAGGGATTACCAGCACAACAGTTCTCAGAAGCATTTGGCTTTAGTCATTTCGAGATGTCACTGGTGTGTGCGTATATATGTGTACGCATGTATGTACATATGTATGCATGTATGTATATGTATGCATGTATACATGTATTTATGTATGTGTGTATAGGAGTGTGTGTTTGTGTATGTAGTGAGCATCACAATCGCATCCCGAGAGTTAGTATCTTTTTGAGAAATGTTATCTATCAAGAAGAAATTCGACAATGAATTGCAGCTGATCCAAAAAAACACATGTAAATATGAATTTAGAGTACAATCGATGAAACGGCTAGGAGACAAATTGG